TCAATGGCAAAGTTCTGGACTTTGCTCAACCTTGAAACCGGGTGGTTCCCATCGCTCATGCGTACAATCCTGTCATGGTGTTCGTCCCTTGGAAACAAGGATTGCTGATTCAGACTAAAGCAACCAGTTAAGTACGGGCGTATTTGTTATTTAGTTTGATTAATTGAAAAGCACAGAACGATGTCTGACAACATGCAAATTAATGAGGTATGAATAAAAAGCAAATACTTATTTATTAAATGTATAAAAAGATATATATTACCAGTAGCGTCTCTAAGTTCGATTAACTGGGGCCCCGTCAATGAAGGGCCCTCCAAATAATATTAGTTTATCTTTGAAAATGTGAAGTTTCCTCACAATATATTTCCTTTTTCATTTGCAGGTCCTCAGCAAATTCTCCATTAAAAATGAAACTGCCGAATCAAATAAAGTAAGATAAATAACATTGTACAAAAAAGACCTATCTTTTAGTGATTAAGAGTTGTTTTCTTCATGGACAAATTATAATATTATTTCTATTATGATTAATTATAATTACCGATAATGGAAATTCTGATTGAAGGTAACTACTATTGACCAAAACTACCAGGAAATTATAGTCATAAGTTCAGATGAAGAGGATGGTGAAAGAAAACCGCCTGCGATGGACACGATCAGTATTAGTTCAACGAATGAAGTAGGAATACCAATTGACAAAATTAAATACGTACATCAAAATATTACTATGAATAATTTGTAGAAATATGAAGAGGATGCATATGAGCGAAATGACGAAAAGACAAACCTAAGCAAAGAAAAACAACAGAGGACTAATTCTTGCCGGAACATGAACAAAGTGAGATTAGTTCGTAAGCCCGGTCATAAGGATTTGAAAAACGTATGTGAAATAATTGTAAAGAATATTATTATCTCTAGAATATATAATTGTGATCTTCTCATTAGGCCTTGAAAGATAAAAAAAGGAGCAAGGAAGTAACCTCTAAAAATATGGTTTCAAACCCATATTTTAATAAATATTTTTATAAGTATCACAGGGTATGTTAAATTGTGTTTTTTTAATTGATGTGAATTAATGCGTATCCGGATTTTAGCTGAGAAAACAATTAAAAGCCATGGTAGAACGTATCTGATGTCAGAAAGGAGTATCCAAAATATATATTATCCTTTATACTTTTCTTTTATAAATTATATAAATAAACATATTTTATTCAAGATGTCTTTAATGTGTGTGCGGGAGATACAAGAGCAGGAAAACAACAAACGAAAGGAATCTTTAATCTTTCTCTCTCTCTCTATCAGACGTATATGTCGGAGAACAATACCAATGTGCAAATCTCTTTGTATTGTCCACACGTCTCAAGGATATGCACATTCTTGGATTTTTGGGAATCGTGCGGGAGAGAAAAGAGCAGTAAAGCTGGAGAACAGAGGAAGAGTCAAAGTTGTGTTCTGGATGGTTTGCTGTGTTGGATCACCAGTTCTAGGCTTTCGAGATAGTTCTTTATAACCAAGTCTTCTCAATATGCTTTCTTTAATCTCTCTTTCTCTTTCGATTCGAATGTATATATGTATGATTGTATATTCTATTGGAAGTATATGTTTTATTATTTCTAATAAAATAATTACTATCGAATTATTAATATCTTTTAATAGCTTCATTAAGCAACTCATAAATGGATCCTTGTAGCCATCTTTTGGAGGGAATGTAAAATGTATATGCGCTATTATTCGTGAAGCGTTATTTATAAGATTCTATAATTAAAAATGTAAATCTATTAATTATAAGGAATCTATTGTATTTTCTATTGATTTATCATTTTCTATATTATCTAAGATTATACTACTTACTGGTCACACAGTTTCTATGTCTGCTGATGAGACACCTGCAATTTTGCAAATCTTATGAGTTTTCAACTTTTGCAACTAGGAAAATAGAAATGAAAACAGGTTATACAGAAGTATTGATTTTATAAAAGACCTGCACAATAAATTGTTTCAAGGTTCAAACGCGTCTACAATTTCACAATTTTTTATTCTTCCTATCATATTTATATTTATTAGATGGACACATTTATAATTTTTATGAATTTAGCAAATAAGATTTATTTTAAACTTGCTTCTATTTATATAAAAATGTATAAACTCACAGTACAAAATTTGAATTTGAAGATTTGCGTTCCTCAACGCAAATAGAATTTAACAGAAATATTATTTCTGGAAATAGAATTAATTTGGGTATAATTTTCTGCTTTTATTAAGTACAGAAGATAAAAATTTAACTAAGAATTATGAGAAAAATAGAATACATATATAAAATCCCGGGTATCGATCAAAATCCTTTGCGGACCTCTCAACAAGTAAAAAAGGACGTGTCCGGGAAAACCCAGACGCATGGCAACCCTAATTTAGATATATCAAAAAATGCTAAATCAACTTGTCTATACATGGATGGAATTGTCAAAATTTTAATGGCTGTTGCATCAAAATACTAGCATCCGTTTACACTTGAAGTTTCTCGATTTCAACTTTATGATGAGGATAATATAAACCCCATACGTACTCGTCCTTGCCACACCTGAAATAGAAAAAGGAATTTAAACAATCCACATTGCAAATAGTCAAACGTTTAATGGTTATTATTATACTAAACTCTAAAAAATATTATCCTGAAATTAGTAAAATATTCTAAATAAAGGGTTTTTATTTTAAATGAAAATTCTGACGATTTTCAGGAAAGAAGTTATAGGTTTTTACGAACTTGATGGACTACGTTTCATGTTAAATAGGTCTATACTTTAGAGCTGAATGCGTTATCAAATTGCCGTAAATTCAAAATCGATAGATTCTAAATTAAAGATATGCATTTTAGATGAAAATTATGAATACAAATCTCATAATTCGTAAATACGTTCGAATATCCTTAAGATTTTGTAGTCAAGGATATTCCAATTATTATTTAAAAAATTGAGGTATGATAACAATGATCAACATCCAACATATATTATAAATGCGAATTTTATATTATTAAACATTGACGAAGATAATGAAGTTACATGTTCATCATCAAGTGGTATTGATATGGAATTACCCGTTCTAAGCAGAAGAAGTCCTGATCGAAATGACGCAAAATACTCCAAATATAGAAAGGTACATAGTAATTGTTCACAAATAAAGAATAGTATTTGATATAATTCTACTTAATTAATTTTATTTCAAGGTATCGGTCAATGCAAACAATGTGAATGATAGAACAAAATTGTATCCAAATATTTATGGAGATAGCTTTATAAGTAATAATATTGAGATGGAAGCAATCTCGTTCTCGAGGAGTCCAGATCGAAATGATGCGAATTTTACAAAGTACAGAAACGTACGCAACTAAAATATTTCAAAATATAGCTAGTACGGAAGGGCAGAGGTATACCTCTAACAAAACAAGAATAATTAAAAAGATAAAGTACTATACTTCGAACTAACCAAAATCGTTGTTAATATGAAATTTGTGAAATTGTTTCTTTTTCAATTTTTATTTTAGGTGGACAAAAGCAATGACGATCTTATAAGATCGATG